CAGTCACAGACAGGCTGCCCTGAGTTTTTGTGATGGGGTCTCGTGCTATCGCTCAGGCTGGTCTTGAACCCTGGCCTCCAGCGATCTTTCTTCCTCAGTCATCCTCCCTGGTTGCTGGGATTACAAGCATGAGGCACCATGCTTGGCCAGTCAGGCTGTATCAGAGCCTGTAAATCATCCCTGTATTTCTAAAGTGCTCAACCTTGGCAGCCCCAAATGTGAGTGACTGTCGGACTTGGGATTTCTCTCACTGAGTCTAATGCCCAGGCTAGAGTGCTGTGAAGTCAGCTTAGCTTATAGAAACCTCAAACTCCTAGGTTCAAGTGACCCTCCTGCCTCAGCCTCCCGAGTACCTGGGACTACAGGCACCCACTGCAACACCCAGCTAGTTTTTCTATTTTTAGTAGAGATGTGGTCTTGAACGGAGTTTGAGGAATCCTCCCACCTTGGCCTTCCAGGGTGCTAGGATGACAGCATGAGCAGGCAGGCCTGGCCCTAATAATGTCTCCCAACACTGAAAGGAGCTAAACCTTCCCTAGGTTTTCTCTTGGAGCAATGTGTACTCCTGGTTTAAATACAAGGCAAATAGCTCTCATACTTTTACCAAATTATAAGATGGGCACTGGCATAAAAGTTACTAGAAACCATATTTTCCCATAAAAGCAAAAAGAGCTACAGCCAAAGTCATGTGTTGGTTATTAGTCTGGGTGCCGGATGCTGTGGGTAGGAGCTCTGGGAGTGGCTAATGCCCGTGTCTTCTCACCCAGGCCAGTGAAAGACGCGTTCATCTCATCGTGTCCCGCCAGGTCCGAGGACAGAGCCCGGACATCTTTCAGGAAGCCAGCTGGGGCAGCAATGGCAGCCAGTCCCCAGGGCCAGGGTGGAGGAGCAACTCTCCCAAGGTAAGGCCCAGCCAGGGCATGTCCGTTGCTCCTAGAAGGAGCTAATTCTTGGGAAGGCTGCTCATTTAACATTTCAAAGTGCCACCTCTGGACTTTGTGACTTAGAGAAACATTCCAAAGTCCCATCTTCAAGCCTTGGTGAGATAACACAGGTCTGCCATCTGAGCAGGAGAGAGGAAAATGCAGGAGGGTTTAGAACTCAACCATGGAGGCCTCATATAGAGACCTAATTTCCAGTCTCAGCCAAATAGATGTCACTTTTTACCAAGAGGCATTTTATTTAAAAAATGTTTTCCTTTCGCTTGGACATGAAATAAGAGGCTTTCCTGGTTTCTGGTTTTTGAATTTCCAAATCTGCCTGGAAATTAAAGTAGTGCTTCTGCTACCATTTTTAATATGTTTGCATTTGCCAAAGGGCCCACGAAGATAATTTAAAAGCTCATGTGACATTAGGGAATGGTGAGACATGGGTCAAACCACAGGGCACATGTCCTGTCCCGTGGCATTCAAATCCAAAAAAAAATTTAAAACCCCATGGACCAAGTAGAATTTATCTGTAGGTAGAATCCATCCTTCCAGCTAGCAGTTTGCAGACTGTGTTTAAACGAGATGGCTCAGCCCGTTTGTACTCCTGTCTGTGGCTTCTATTAGAGGCAGTGCCTTAACCTTCCCATCTGGGTGCGTGTCTAAGGAACACAAACTTTGTTTGGCCCAAAGTAAGAGTCTAGTGGGTTGGCGTGGCATCCTGTTGTGACGGCAGGGAGCTTCTATCTGTCCCTTCCCCTGGATTCTGGTTTCATTACATCACTTGTAACTAAAAGAATATCTTATAGGTGGCCCACTCTTCTTGCAACAGAGCGTAGGAAACACCCCTTTCCTTCTACAATAAGCTATGCTTTGGTTGGAATAACTCACAAGCTGAGTTTTTGAGCAATGCACGGACACAGAAACAGTACTCAAAAACTTTGATTATGGAGCATCTCTGCTTTACAATACTCTATAAATTACAGGGCCTACAAGATACAGGCTATACTCCAGCCAGCAAGACATGCCCCCTAAATTCATAAATTCCATGTTTGTTTACAGTAAGCAATCTGAACAGACCAAGTATATCCTGCTAATATGTTTCATGGGTAAAGACTCACTTGTGTCTTTTTTTCTAGTAAGTCAGCATGTTTAAGTTAAACTGATAGTCTTTATTAATGGAAAACTAGTTGATTGGTTTAATTAACTAATTGCTTAGCATTTTTATCTAATTAATTGTAGTTGAATTAACTAAAATATATTATATCCTAATTCGTTAAATTACGGGAAATGAGGTCTCCATCCACACTGTGGTTTTGTAATTCCTTCCACCTCCCCATCATGAGTCATGGAAAGAGCCCGGAGGATCTAATCCTACTTTTGTTACCAGCCTCTATCATGTGACTTAATGCCTGGAAACCCTGCTATGGGAAGTCGTATTTATTTTAATTTATATTATATCTGACTTTGTGAGATGCCCTCCCCAAAAGGGTGGTATATTTAAAATAAAACTAAGATATATAGGGCTCTTTAATTGTTTAGGTTTTTATGCTACTAAAATGTTGTTTGATTTAGGAAACAACGTGACTTTTAGAAAATCACTTAAAAGATTCAAAGAAATACCAAAGAAGGCAAACCAGGATTTGTGGGACAGAAAGATTTTAGCCAATTGAGAAGTTAAGGGACAACAGTCACCAAATTTAGGAGTGTGGTCACCTCTGTGGGAGAGGAAAGAAATACGACCAGAGAGAAGTCAAACAGAGACTAAGTGGGCGCAGAACATTCATTTCTAATACTGGGTTTTGAAGCACATGGGTAGGATGCTCTGTTGTTATTTATACTTCTTTTTATTTGTCTAAAATGTTTTATTTAAAAAATCCAAGGCAAATATAGATACACTTTTATAGCTCAAGTGATAAATACTCAGATGCCCGTAAGATTTTTTAATCAGCTTTAATTATTGCCTCATAAATTATGTTTTTAAATATGGGGGAACATTCCGAAGGGTCCAAAGTTGAGGCAGGCATGGAGAAGTGGGGAGAAAAGACGGATGGAAAGGATGATCTCTGCTGTATTTAATTTTCCTCCTCCCCAGCCACAGAAGGCAACTCTGCAGGTGAGGGCTCCACGGGGAGACGTGGGTTTCTCCATTGCTAATGTGAATCTCACTGGTGAGGAATTTCAGAGGCCCTGGGAGACACAGGCGGGACACATGGACACAGATCCTATTTGTGGCACTGCAGTCATTGTCTCGAGCCCTCCGTGGCTCAGCTAAACATCTCTTTGCTCAGCACAGACAATCCTGTTTGGTAACACTTAGGAAGTGGGAAATAAGACACTATATAAAATATGGTTATTTTTGTTTAATTTAGAAAAAAGTTCCTGATATTCATAAGTGATAAGAATTTTGTGTTTTAATTCTGACTCTCCGCTATCAGGAATAAACGACTCATTTGAGAAAATGTAGGTGCAATTCACTTTGAACGTTTATTATTTCTCCATCCTGTCCCTCCCTCCATCTAACCGTTCCCTCGGAAATGTAAACGTTCTCTGAGTTAGTCCATAGAGTTTGCAGATAAAGCCACTCTATTATGGTGGACACAGGTAAGGTGAGGGTTTTGTTAGTGTCTTTCTCTGTGGTTTCAAGGACCACCATCATATTTATTCAATGTATGTAATTTATGTAATCTTGGCATTTTGCACATAGAAAATGCAACTCCAAATGTGAATGCATGTGCAATGTTTTTCTGTCTGTGCCTTCAGCCCCCTCACCCTGCAGTTACTTGTCGGGAGAAGGTTGTGAGTATCCGGAAAGACCCCAGTGAATCTCTTGGCATGACCGTTGCAGGGGGAGCATCACATCGGGAATGGGACCTGCCGATCTATGTCATCAGTGTCGAGCCTGGAGGAGTCATCAGCAGAGATGGAAGAATAAAAACAGGTAAGAAGTGAGGGGACGTAAGGGACTGGGGTGGCAGAGGATTATGAGAATAAGTCCTTCACCATGTTGGGTAACTGTTTTCAGAATTAAGAGGTTAGATGATCTGGGAAGGACATCTGTTACCCATTGACCATGACTGGTTCAAGTATAGTTCCTAGAATGGGTTTCACTTCTCTTAGTTCGTAGAGGTTGATATGGGACAACTTGCCTGCTAGTAAAAAGATAGAACTGCGGAACTATCCCAGTGATTACTAGGGAGCTGCTACAGGCATGGACAAGTTGTCTGTATCTAACAGCGTGATTTGGTTCCGTTCATTCTAAGCGATTCTTCACTGCGTTGATCCAGTGATGACACAAATTCATGAATTGCTCCATTTTATGGGTTGGACTGGAGAAGTCATTTGAGAAATTGGATTCATTGAATACATATTAAGTGAAGCACCGTGCTAGGTACTTTCCCATTGGTGCAAAGTGTTTCAGCACATTAATCTCTCATGTTGTGAGCTACTTTGAGTAAAGGAAGGTGATGTCAAATTTGCTTCTACAAATATGTATCCTTAGTAGTGTTGCCAACTCATACGAAGGGTTGCAGGCTCAGAGGGATGCAGGATTATCTCTTGTCACAAAGGTCCAGAATCAAGAGATAAAATGTGAAGTTTCCAAAGTGTAGCTGCTCAGCCGGAGGAGCCCTGGGGAGTGGGTGGTGTGGTGGGGGGTTCAGTCACCCAGGGCGTGGGTCAGGAAGGACTCAAGCCCTCCCCATCTTTCTCCTCTTGTCTTTTTGCTTCTGCTGTGACCGTTCTCTATAAAACAATTAGGAGCAAAGAGAGACAGAAAAACAGGAAGAAGATACAAGAATAGAAAGCAGGGAGAGAGAGATAAAGATAGCACGTAGTGGGAGAGCAGTGCACATAGTGGGAGAGCAACGAGGCCAAACAGCATGACTTGTTAGCAAGAGAATGAGCCAGAGGGTTATACGACAGGATAGATGGAGATAGCCCTGCACATAGTAGGTGCTTCACCCGTGGTAGCTGTTTTCACCTTTATGATGAACTCTTCTTGCCGCCTCTAAGAGCACCTTCCCAAGCCCATTTTCTGTAACTACCGTAGACCCCTCTTCCACACACTGTCAGGTCAGCCCACATTCATCAGGTGTCCACCGGGCACTGGGCTCCGTGCAAGTGCTGGAGCTTCTGCCACGTGCTTTCCCTTTGTGTTAAAAACAGGGAGCAAAAAAGGAGCAAAAAAGTAGGTTTTCTTTGATTAAATAGTGAACAAGGTTAATTTATGTTCTTGCCTCTGTTCTCCAATCAAAACTTACTGGTACCTTGGAATGCACACACTGTTTACCTCATGTCGAACATGAGGGGCTGAGGACACCCCCTCACCCTCTCCGCGTCCGTCCCCACAACCCCGTCAGTCCCTGCCCCTTGCACTCTCAGTAAGAGGCGCTGTTCAGACGCTCAGTAAAGGTGGCTTCTGCCTCTCTGGCCATCAGGTGACATTCTGTTGAATGTGAATGGGACTGAGCTGACCGAGGTGAGCCGGAGCGAGGCAGTGGCATTACTGAAAAGCACGTCCTCCTCAGTGGTGCTCAAAGCTTTGGAAGTCAAGGAGCAGGAGCCAGAGGAAGACTGCAGCAGCCCCGCAGCCCTGGACTCCAACCACAACATGGCCCCACCTAGCGACTGGTCCCCGTCCTGGGTCATGTGGCTGGAATTACCTCGGTGAGTCCCAGCGTGACATCTCTGTAGGAGGAAACAATTACATTTCTTTCACTCTTTGGGGCTGATTCATAGTACAAGCATCTTAATGAGACCCAGTCTTGGTTGTGGGACTGTTCGAAATAATTCTGTCTTCCCATTTGTAACTAAAAGTGCACACAGAGATGCCAGGGCAGGGACGGAAGCCTGGATTGGAGGCACCAGCAGGCATCCACGCTGGGCGCTCCCAGGGCTGCCATGCACAGCTGTGCAGGGTGTCCCCGCAGACAGAAGGGAGCTCGGAGCACAGGCTATGTTTGTGCATCCTCGAGCTGAGCTGTACCCACCAGGGAAGGGTCACCTGTGCCTAATTTGCTATTGGAGGCCCTGGGAGCATTGCTTAGAGGCTGACTCCCTTCTGGGGCTGTGTGTGCCTGTGTGGTTTTCAGATGGCCCTGGCTCTCCATAAACAGGGCCACAGAACACACTGCCTTCGCCAGATTTTCAAGCATCTGCTGGCTGGGGACATTGCTCAGATTTCAGTGTCTGCTCCTGAAAAGTTCTTGTACAGAAATTCAGGAAGCAGCTCAGCTGCCACTGTAGTGTAGTATAGCTCGAGCCTTACAGTACAGCCTCTGTTCCTCTCACACAGTCACTTCAGGGAAGGATTTGGGGTCAGCCTTACTAAATGGCTATCACAGAAATGAAATACTCAAAGAGCAGATAAATTGGTTTCTTACCTGCATCAGAGCATAAACTATTGTCTTTGAAAAGCTTACCTTGCTAATTCCAGATGCATAATTTAAATGTTAAATATTAGAGTAACTGACGATGATATACTAGCATAGGATTGAAAAAAATGAAAGCAAGATGTTGAGTTTTAGAACATTTTTCTTGAGAGTGGAGATATGTCTCTCTCTTTTTCTCTTTTTGTAATTTATATTGAGGGATTTAAAAAAAAAATCCCTGCCTCAAAGATACACTGACCTAGATTCCTTTTTGAGTCTTCCATAGTTAATAAATTATTTTTAAAGTCGGTACATTTTTTAAACTCCTTAAGCAGTTGAAAACTGAGCATTGAGGCTGTTTAAAAGTCTACAAACATTTTAGAAGTGGGCCTGAATGGAAGAAGTGAAGGTTACTTTAAATAGAAATTTATTTTAAAAAAAAACTTCTGAAACTAGTATCTATTAAAATAAGTCATTTTTATTTTTTTATTTGAAAGCTACTTTGTCACGTAATCAGTATAATCATAGTTCCTCATCAATTCATTTGCGTAAGAGAAGACATGTGATAAGCTTTTTTACTCTAGATAGAACCATGTGCTTTTTACTCTAGATATACCTGAATTGCTAGAAATTTAGTCTGCAAATAGATTTTCTTTTCTTTCTTTTTTTTTTTTTAGAGACAGAGTCTCACTTCATAGCCCTCAGTAGAGTGCTGTGGTGTCACAGCTCACAGCAACCTCCAGCTCCTGGGCTTAGGTGATTCTCTTGCCTCAGCCTCCCAAGTAGCTGGGACTACAGGCGCCTGCCACAATGCCCGGCTATTTTTTTGTTGCAGTTTGGCTGGTGCTGGATTTGAACCCACCAGCCTCGGTATATGGGGCCGGCGTCCTACTCACTGAGCCATAGGCACAGCCCTAGATTTTCTTTTTACTTCACAGAAATTTTTAAGTTACAAACCTACTTAGCCAAGCATTTCCCCCATTCACTTAACAGAGTGTGACGAAACCTGTTTGCCCTAGTGTATGATGTAGCCACTTACCTAAGGTTCTCCACCAATGAAGGAAAACGATAAAACATGTCAGCAGGCGCAGACGCAGGGAGGCCATCGTAGTTACATGGGGCTTGTTTTGAACCAGTGCGTGTCAGATACAGCAGATTGTACAGGACAGTGCAGGTGTGCCTGTCAGGTGTCAGGTGTGCAGCGGTGGCCCCTGCATGGCAGCTCCAGGCAGTGTCCCTGCCATTACCAGGTGCCATCCCACTGGAGGAAATTCAGAAAACACTGAAGACTTTCTGCTTTATTCTTTGTCGGCTCTCGGGACTCACATTCCACATCTGGAAGTCTTTCCAAACATGCTCTCCTCTGGACGAGGAGGATACACACTAACTGATTTCTCCTCTTGCCTAAGAATTTTAACCTTTTACTCTCCTAAAACTCTTAAGTACAGAGTAGTTAACTAATTTGCTTGAGATTGGATGGCTAGTTAATAGGCACAGCTGGAATGTGAACCAGGTGGTCTTGTCTTGGCATCTATGACCTGAACCACGATCTAATTCTAAGTTTTCTGTGCATCCTCAAGAGGATGCTAAGTCCATATTCAGCTTTAATAGTTGGAGCTAAACCATTTGTGTCCTCTCCACCGTAAAGCCAGTGTCGGAGGAATTCGAATGCGTACAGACTTTTGTCCCTCACTGGGTATTTCGTGTAGCCATCAGCATAATAAGTACCACTTTCATCACTGCTTTCCTCCTAGGCCTCAAATTCCTTGTCATTTTCTTGTCAGCTCTCCTGTATGGTGATGGTTTATGTGTGATAGTCAACCAGAAATCATTTCAAGAACAAAAATATTTTCAAAATATTTCTTTCTTTTATAGCCACCCCAAACCTCCATGTATGTAATGTGTGCTGCGAATGCATTTTATGTGTTTACTATCACAGTGAGAGGAGACTCCGAAAGAAAAGAATGTCTCGTGTTTCTGAAGGCCTTCAAATGACTCTGCTTAGCAGGAATTCGTTGAATGAAATAACCCAGTAAGGCTTTGTGTACCAGGGAAAGCCTCTGTGGGCCTCATAATCTAGTGTGCAAAAAATGTCACAATAAATTGTGTAAACTTGTGAGTTATAAAAGCCATAATTAAACTATTATGAATATGTGGTAGGCACACAGGGCTTTGGGAACCTGGAGAAGATATTGGAGTGAATGACAGTATATTTCATCTGGTTGGAGGATACAAGTGATACAACAAAAATAGGAGAGTATTTTGCCAATAATGCCAATTACTTATCTTCATAATTGTGCTTTGTAACAACCAACTGCAAAACCTCAGTGGCATGCAACAGTGAGAACATATTTTGCTCCTGCGCCTGTGGGGTCCAGCTGACCCAGGCTGGCTTGGTTGATCTTGGCAGGCTCACCTGGGCTTTTGCACTCTGCTCTGGGCCACCTAGATAGCTGCTTGCTGACCATGCTGCATGTGCAGGGTTTGGCTGTGGCAAACACCCACTGATGCTCTTTGGCTGAGCCCAGAATCAGACGAGGAGGACACTACAAAGTTCTATAGTAAAGAGCATGGATAACATGGAAGGGTGAAGAATTGGGGCCATCAGTGTAATTATTTTGCCATAGTAAGGAAGAGTATTGATAATCTCAAAGAACTTTTGTTTACGTAGGTTATATCTGTAATTGTATTTACCTTAGGATAAATTAATCTGAGAAAATTTATTGTTACTTAAAATAATAAGCCCAGTATATGTTAATGTAAATAATGTATCTTTTATGAAAAACAACTTCCAAAAAACGTAGAAGAATGGCATTGTTTCATATTTTTGCAAACTGTTAAGATACCTGGATTCCCACATTTGCTTCTGCGGTTCATCTGCTGCTTGTTACCCATCATGTGGCCTCTGGAAATGTCACAAGAGAAAGTGGGAGTGAAAAGGCAAATCACTTCTTATTATGTCTTGTTACTATTATGGAAATGGTTTTTTGGTCCTTCTGATATCCCAAAAGGCATGCCCTGGGAACCACTCTTTGGAGGAGAGTTTAAGATAAAGATAGATTTGGGCAGGATTAATATGCAGATGGTACAGTACAGGAGCTCGGTGGAATATTGGAGTCCACTGAGAAGCGGGCTGAGGAAAGGGGAGAGCTTGGAGGAAACAGAGAAAGAACCACCAGTGAAAGAACAGAAAAAATGTCCTTTGGATTTGGCCTAATGGGCGGTCAGGGGCTCAGGCAGGAGTTTTATGAAGATACAGAGGGTAAAGGTGTGGTTGCAGGGAGTCGTAGGTGAAAGTCTTAGGAGAGGGAGAGGTGGCAAGTCCTCTGTAGAGCATGACACACAGTAGAGAGGTGGGGAGGGTACGTTTTAAAAAGAGTCCGTATTTTAGTCACCTTCTTCAGTGACCTCAGCCCAAACTCACACTTGTAGTCTATAGACTATTCTAACTCGTAGAAGAGAACTCTGAGTACACACCTGTAGTCTATAG